ATAGATTCAATGCAATCCCCATCAGGGTCCCATCAAAATTCTTCACAGATCTGGAGAGGACAATAATCAACTTTATATGGAAAAACAAAAAACCCAGGGTAGCCAAAACAATCCTATACAATAAAGGATTGTCTGGAGGCATTACCATCCCTGACTTCAAACTCTATTACAGAGCTACAGTGATGAAAACAGTGTGGTACTGGCATAAAAACAGAGAAGTTGACCAATGGAATCGTATAGAAGACCCGAATTTTAAATCACAAACCTATGAACACCTCATTTTTGATAAAGGAGCCAAAAGTATACAATGGAAGAAAGAAAGCATTTTTAACAAATGGTGCTGGCATAACTGGATGTCAACCTGTAGAAGAATGAAAATAGACCCATATCTATCACCATGCACAAAACTCAAGTCCAAATGGATTAAAGACCTCACTATCAGTCAGAACACAGTGAACCTGATAGAAGAGAAAGTGGGAAGTACCCTACAGGAGATGGGCACAGGAGATCGCTTCCTATGTGTAACCCCAACAGCACAGACTTTAAGGGCAACATTGAATAAATGGGACCTACTAAAACTGAGAAGCTTCTGTAAAGCAAAGGACACTGTCACCAAGACAAATAGGCAACCTACTGACTGGGAGAAGATCTTCACCAACCCTGCAACAGACAAAGGTCTGATCTCCAAAATATATAGAGAACTCAGGAAACTAGACTTTAAAATGCTAATTAACCCAATTAAAAAATGGGGCACTGAACTGAACAGAGAATTCTCAGCAGAGGAAGTTCAGATGGCCAAAAGACACTTAAGGTCATGCTCAACCTCCTTAGCAGTCAGGGAAATGCAAATCTAAACAACTTTGAGATATCATCTTACACCTGTCAGAATGGCTAAAATAAAAAACTCCAATGATAGCCTTTGCTGGAGAGGCTGTGGAGGAAGGGGAACACTCATCCATTGCTGGTGGGAATGCAATCTTGTGCAACCACTTTGGAAATCGGTGTTTCGGTTTCTCAGGAAATTCGGGATCAACTTACCCCTGGACCCAGCAATACCACTCCTGGGAATATACCCAAGAGATGCCCTATCACATGACAAGAGCATTTGTTCAACTATGTTCATAGCAGTATTATTTGTAATAGCCAGAACCTGGAAACAACCTAGATGCCCTTCAATGGAAGAATGGATGAAGAAAGTGTGGAATATCTACACATTAGAGTACTATGCTGCGTTAAAAAACAATGACTTCTCAAATTTTGCATGCAAATGGATGGAAATAGAAAACACTATCCTGAGTGAGGTATCCCAGACCCAAAAAGATGAACATGGGATGTACTCACTCATAATTGGTTTCTAGCCATAAACAAGGGTCACGGAGTCTACACTTGGTGATCCCAAAGAAGCTAAGTAAGAAGGTGAACCAAAGGAAAAGCATATAGTTGCCCTCTTGGCTATGGGAAGTAGACAAAATTGCCGGGGAGAAAATTGAGATCTTGGGGGTGGGGTGGGATGGGGGTAAGGGGAGATGGGGAGAGAGGGGGGAGAGGGGGAGAATGGGGGGAGCTTGGGGAAGGGGGAGGATTGGGATGAAGGAAGGTTGGATGGGGGAGCATGGAAGCACGGTTCTTCGTTAAGGGAGCCACCTTAGGGTTGGCAAGAGACTTGAACCTTGAGTGGCTCCCAGATACCCAAGCCGAGGTCCCCAGTTAGTTCCTTGGGCAGCTGAGGATGGGGAACCTGAAATGACCCTATCCTAGAGCAATAATGACGAATATCTTGCATATCATCATAGAACCTTCATCTGGTGATGGATGGAGACAGAGACAGAGACCCACACTGGAGCACTGGACTGAGCTCCCAAGGTCCCAATGAGGAGCAGAAGGAGGGAGAACATGAGCAAAGAAGTCGGGACCACGAGGGGAGCACCCACCCACTGAGACAGTGGAGCTGATCTATTGGGAGCTCACCAAGGCCAGCTGAACTGTGACTGAAAAAGCATGGGATAAAACTGAACTCTCTGAGCATGGCGAACAATGAGGGCTGATGAGAACCCAAGGACAATGGCATGGGGTTTTGAACCTACGTAATGTGCTGGCTTTGTGGGAGCCTAGCCAGTTTGGATGTTCACCTTCCTAGAAATGCACGGAGGGGGGAGGACCTAGGACTTACCGCAGGGCAGGGAAATCTGACTGCTCTTTGGGCTGGAGAGGGAGGGGGAGAGGAGTGGGGGGAGGGGGAGAAGGGTGGGAGGAGGGGGGGAATGGGAGGCTGGGAGGAGGAGGAAATTTGTTTTTTTTTTCTTTTCTCAATAAAAAAAAGTTAAAAAATAAATAAATAAATAATAAAAAAAGAAGGACGACCAGAAAACGACTTGTTTGTTCTGGGTTACTGTTTCTATACCATTCGGGAGTGGTTTGGAGCATCTCTGAGGAGGGTTTACCATTTGATGGGCTTTTTTGGACGTGGAGTCAGGACTGAGGCAACACCCAAGGCAGGTGATTGAAAAGGAAATTTTGCTTAAACGTTTCAGATTCTTTGGATATATGGATGTCAGGGGCTGGGTTGAAGCCTTAACCCAAAGAATCAGAGAGAACCAAGGCAAATTGCATGCTACAGCCCTTCTTGGTGAAGTGTGAGGGTCTCTATTTGGTGCGGCACAGCTTTTGAAGACATTAACAGGCATGCAGAGTGGCTAAGGTTTCAAACAAGTGGTAGGGTCAGAGTCCCAGAAGAAAGACCATTGGGGAAAATGTAGCCAGTTACAGTGAAGACCTGAGTAGTGCTTCCCAACAATGTTTTATTATTTATTCACATACACAGGCCTAGACACAAACTGAAACATCTCATGTATCCACAATGCAGATATAAAGTACAGGAGCGCCCAGGCACATACACCATCACAAAACAAATACAAACACTGGCATACCAACTCACGTAGAACCCCAACAATGGAAAGGCCGTATTATCATTTTACCTACAGAACATACACTAAAAAGTGCTAGCCTCCAAAGGAACAAGGGATGGAGGTACAAAAACACACTATGTAAGTCAAGGATCCACATTATGAAAAGAGTCTGAAAGCTTATGAAACGCCTGAACGTTGACAAAACACATTTAAGCATTTGAGACAGCTATCGTTAATCTATCAACTACTCAGTCCTTGAACAAACCTGCACCCCCTCCTCTGGGCCCTTAAGCTCAAGAGGGAGGTGCAGTCCAGATGCTCAGTAGATAGCAAGAGGTCGCCTGCCTTGGATCCCAGTCACAAGGATGGGCTGGGAGGTTTCACTGCTCCAACTCATGCAAGACCTGAAGGGAGAAAGGATGGGATGAGGACCACCTAAGGATCACAAATCCCCGAATCCCTTTCCTGACTCGAGCCCTTTCTTCTTTGTCTCTCACAGTTGAAGAGTTGTCACTGACACAAGGGAGAGACATATTCCCGCCTGGATTCCCCACCTCCAGCCTCACATTCCCTGATTCCTCCATCACAGGCCAAAACCTACTCCAGTCAAGCCCATGGTCTCTAAATAAGTGTGTGTAAGACAGAGAGAGGGGGAGAGAGAGAAATAGAGTAGAGGAGGGGAACACACACACTGGTGTTTCTTAGTAAGTGCTGGTATGGAAAGTCAGAGGATGGCCTGGGGAATCCGTCTTTCCCTTCCTGTTTAAAGGTTGCTTTGAGACCTGTTGGAGGGCTCTAATGGAAACATGGTGGTTTAAACGAGGCAAACAATAGCCTCTAAATATTTTCCTTCTGTGGTTCCTCACCATGTTTTAGGATGCTTGACTTTAAAACTGCTGTTTGAGGTGCTGACTTGAAGCCTGTGAAAAACTGTCAGATGAGTTTTAGCTTGGGATTAGGGCGGTACTCCTGACACTTGAGAAGAGGCCCTAGACATACTTCTGCCAGTTTTTTGCTCCCTATCTTTGTGAAGAGCATCCTCGGCTGTGACGATTATAAATTAAAAGTACCAATCCACTCTGAAAAATGTTGAAAATACTTTGTGCCCCACAGTGTCCAATGTGGGGTTAAGATTTATCTCTTTGGGAAAAATTAAACAAGCACATCCACTTCCTTGGCATTCACATTTATCTTTAGTAAATGGGAAATTACATGTACTCCAAGGATTAGTATTGAATTAAATTTCTTTGTAGTTTATTGTCTGTGAATGTTTGGTTTGTATGTCTATCCTTCGTGCCTATATATGTGTGTCCAGTAAACATTTCTTCAGTTGGAACAGGGTTTCCAGACAGGAAGTTTCAAGAAGCCCTGGCCTAGGATTCCTCTCCCACCCTTGCCATGGCCCTGTGATCAGTCAGCCACCTCTCCAGCTTCATCCTGACCCTTCCAATCCAGCAGGTCTGTCCAGCGTGGCTTCTGCCTACACTCCATAGGCCCCATTTGCCTCTGTACTCGACAGTGTCCAGCCTTGCTTTCCAGAGACACTAGAGGTTTAGTTGGCTTCTCAGCTTATGAGGCCCTTGCCCTCTGGGTGGGCCACTTGAGATTTGGTGGCAAAATACACCTTGAGCAGGAACCCAGGCTGCACATCTGGACTGAGATTCCCCCTGAGACCAGAGACTATATCTCCTTCCATGTATGTCTTCTACAGACCACTACGGTGTGCAGTAGAATGGGGACATGGGGCCTGAGTGAGGAAGCAGGATCCTGGCTCCTTCTATGTCTTCCATGTAACATGCGACCTGCCCTGGGGCAAGTGCCTGCAACCCCCAAGAGCCTCGGTCTCCTTCTCTCTCTGGACATCAGGACACCAGCCACTTGCTGCTGAGCACAAACTAGAGGAGCTGAGCATTCTCTGAGCAATCCTCAAGTGCCCTCTCTGAAGTCTGCTCCAGAAGTCAGGGGTACCCAGCCCCAAGTCATTCAAACTACCAACTTACCCCCACGTGCCCAGCTATGACCAACTTGCCACAGAGCCTCCCATTTCCCACCCATTTCCACCCCATGGTCCTGTTTAAGAAGCCAGCTACCTGGTTAACTGTGGGTCTGGCGCCAGGTCCAAGAAGAGTTCTTCAGAGTCATCAGGGCCGCAGCAGCCTGCAGTATCTCCTCACACTCGAAGGGGGCAGAAACCGAGGCCTGGTCAGAGGTAACGGGCCCCTGTAAAGAAACGGGTGTGAGGAGAACAGGAGCTGCGCACCCACCACCTCTTCTCAGAAGTACAAATGCCCTTCCAGTGGCCAGCTGCTCCCAACCCCAAGGCGGTCTCCTCGACACATCCACTTAGCTCCTCCTGCCCAACATTCGGGAGCCCAAACTTCTCTGCAGGGACCTGTGTCTCTGGTGGATGATACTCCATGGAGGAACACGGCAGGGGGGTCTGATCCGTGCATCTGGAAAGAAGAGGTGAGGGGATTAAACACTTGGATGGGTGGGCAACACTGATCCATTGAGACTGACAAGGTTTCTGCAGTACCAGAAGGTAGGAGTCCAAAGGACTGTGGAGAACTTAGACCCATGGCTTGGGCACGTCCTTTGTCCTGCACAGCCTGTTTTCCTTTGCACACCCCGTCTGACACGTTTTTTCTGAGACATTAATTGTCACAAGCCCCTTTTAATTCTCTCCCAGATACACATTGAGGAAGACATCAGGGATCCACCAGTTTTTGCATTATAATCTACAAAGTCCCTGCAGAGATATGATGGCCTCCTGTTTTCAGGGACTGGTTCTTGCCAGCATTTTGCCCATCCACCACAGCACTTCCAGGAGGCTTACTTGCTGGCCTCTGGACTTTCCCCTGGGCCTCTATGGCCCTCGCCACCATGACCCTAGTTTTTACCAGGACCTTCTGTCTCACCCATCTGTAGCCATGTGGAAAAACAGTGCCCACGTGTTGAAGGCCCACTGTGTGGCAGGCCTTGTGCTGGTGCTTTCTTCAGTGCGAGAGGTGTAGGATCCTTTTGACAAAATGTCCACTAGGAAATGGATGCTTGGAAAATAAAGCCACTCTGGAGTAGGAGCTGTCAAATCAGGAGAGGACCCTGTCCTTGCCCGCACAGCCTGACACACAGCCTTCTCCTTCCCACAATCATCCCTTTCCTGTTTCTCCTACTGCAACAATTCAGACACAGCCGGCTCCATGGACCCTCTCCACTCACGGGTTGGACAAGGCAAAAGCCTCATGGAGCACCATGGAAGGCAAAGCAATCAATTGCGGGCCCAAGGTCGTTGTCATGTAGGGTGCAGGTGAAAATGCTGGGGGCCAGCAGAGGGATGGAGGCCCTTGGGAGCTCTGCAGAGACACGGACTACATGGATTGGGTTCCAGGCCAGCCAGGAAAAAAAGGGGCTGGGCAAATTTTAGGCTGAGGGCAGGAACCCAGAATGTCAGGGCTCTGAAGAGCCTGTTGAACCCCCTCCAATCTCAGCATGGTCTACTGGCACTGAGGAGACTGAGGCCCAAGGGGAAGTGCCCTTTCCCAGGGTCACACAAGGCTGTGTGCTGACCAAGTGGTAGAGGTGGAAGCCCTGACTTCAAGACACAGCTGAAAGGGACTTGACAGTGAAAGGCAGGAGCCGCCCACTCTAGCAACAGATTCTCCTTACCTCCTGGGGGCTTATGAGGGGCAAGACTTCAGGCTGGCAAGCAGTGTTCTCATTGTCAGCTGTAAAAAGACCACCAATTCCTCCCTGCTGGGTGTCCGCCAGGCTCTCCTGCAGATACTCACCCCCATTCTGAGAGCTCCTCACAATGGACCTGCTCAAAGAGCCCACCCCAAATTTCTGCTTCCTGCCAACTAGTGCTGTTCTCATTGACACTATGTCTTCTACCTGGGGCACTGAGGTCTAGGGTGCACTAGCTCATGGTCACACTGCAGTTCTCTGACAGACAGGCCTGGCTACAGTTGCTCATGCTGCACTTCCCTCCAATCAAACCCGGGCTCCCTCCCCAGCCAAGGACACTCACTGTGACCTCTTGCTTTGGCAGAGGACTTCTTGCCCTGACAGAGGGGTTTGCCGGCTACAGCCTTAGTCGTCCTTGGTGGTTGAATCTGTCTTCTCTTTAGCAGTGCACCATGCACCCTTTTCTCAGAACCCAGAGCAGGCAGAGCCTCGCTGTGCTCCCTACAGTAGGGGTATGGAGGACTCCTATTAGTTTTGTGCAAAGGGGCCTGACCGCCTCTCAACTCACACAGGATACCCAAAAGGAGGCAGCACACCTGAGATGTCAAAGACCTGAGAGTGTGAGGGGTGGAATTCTCACCCGGTCTGAGTCCTGGTGCCACCATTAGCACCTCTGCCTCGTCCAGGGCGGCTTGCACGTCCTCTGAGGCCAGGTCCAATTCCCAGTGGGGCTCCCGTCTCATTCCCCGTGTTACATTCCAAGTTGGTGGGCCAGAAGCAGACATCCACTTGGTGGCTTTGATCCATGGTTCTGGAGTGAAGAGCAGAAATGCCACTGTATTCCCACGGCCAATGCATCTCCATGAGTATCCCCCCATGACGCTGTATCCCCGTGTGCAGAGTGAACCTGACCCTTTCCCCAGTCTAGACACCATACTCACGAGGAGGCGGGTTTCTCACCTGGTCTGGGTCCTGGTGCCACCATTGGCACCTCTGCCTCGGCGTCTTGCACGTCCTCTGAGGCCACGTTTGATTCCCAGTGGGGCTCCAGTCTTGTTCTCCATGCTACATTCCAAGTTGGAGGGCCAGAAGCAGACACCCACTTTGGGTTTTGGTTCCGTGGTTCTGGGGTGGAGAGCAGAAACCTCACTATACCTCGATGGCCCCTGTATGCCCATGAGTATCCCCCCATGACGCTGTATCCCCGTGTGCAGGGTGAACCTGACCCTCTCCCCAGTCTAGACACCATACTCACGAGGAGGCAGGTTACTTGCCTGGTCTGCGTCCTGGAGCCACCATTGGCACCTCTGCCTCGGTGGCTTGCACGTCCTCTGAGGCCACGTTTGATTTCCAGTGGGGCTCCAGTCTTGTTCTCCATGCTACATCCCGAGTTGCGGGGCCAGAAGCAGACACCCACTTTGTCTTTTTGTTCCAAGGGTCTGGGGTGGAGAGCCGAAAAGCCACTGTACCACCATGGCCACTGTATTGTCCTGTGTATTCCCCAGACCAGGGTATCTCCATTTGCAAAGCAAGCTGTACCCTCTCCCCTACCTAGACGCCATACTCACAGGAAGGCGGGTTTCTCACCTGGCCTGGATTCTGGTGGTACAACTGTGGCCTCTGCCTCGGCGGCTCGCACGTCCTCTGAGGCCAGGACCAACGACCAGTGGGGCTCCAGTCTCGTTCCCCATGTTACATTCCAAGTCGGAGGGACCACAGGCAGCATCCACTTTGTCTTGCTGCTCCATGGTTCTGGGGTGGAGAGCAGAAATACCACTGTATCACCATGGCCTAAGAGTATCTGCTTCTTCCAATGAAAACGGTAGCATTATGATGTTAGGGAGAAGTCTGGTGCCAGGAAACCTTCCAGGAATCTACAAGGAACACCATAGATAAGACTCCTAGCAATAGTGGAGAGGGTGCCTGAACTGGCCTCCCCTCATAACCAGATTGATAGCCGCCCTAATTGCTGTCATAGAACCTTCATCCAGTAACTGATGGACGCAGATGCAGAGATCCACAGCCAAGCACTGGGCTGAGCTGTGGGAGTCCAGTTGATGAGAGGAGGAGGGGATTATATTAGCAAGGTGTGTGTGTGAGGGGTCAAGATCATGATGGGAAAACCCACACAGACTGTGATCCTCGCTTGTGGGAGCCCACAGACACCAGACCAACAGCTAGGGGTCTGGCACGAGACTGACCTAGACCCTCTGCATGTGGGTGACAGTTGTGTAATTTGGTGTGTACATAGGGCCCATTACCATGGGACCAGGATCTGTCACGGGCACATAAGCTGGCTCTTGGGAAACAATTCCCTAAAATGGGCTACCTCACTCAGCCTTGATAAAAAGGGGCAGAGACTTGGTCCTGCCTCAACTTGTTGGACCATGTTTTGTTGACTCCCATGGGAGGATTTACACTTTCTGAGGAGTGGATTGGTGTGGGTAGAAAGGAGGTGATGGTGGAGAGTGGGAGGAGAGGAGGAAGGGGACACTATGGTTGGTATGTAAAATATATTTTAAAATGTAATAAAAATTTTGGAAAGAAAAATAGTAACTGCTCTTATCTTAGCAAAAAGAAAATAAGACAAAGCAAAGCAAACAAATAAACAAACAAAAATAATGCCTCTCTGGTGGCTAGAATGTTCTCTAACAGGCCCTCCACTACTACTACTACCAATCTGTCCTGCCATGGTTTCCCCTGGCCCTTGTCTCCCTTTTGTGCTGACAGAGTCTCCACCCTCACCGGGTTGTCCACTCCCCCAGCACCTGACCTCACCATCACCCCCAAGAATTTCCTGGCATTGGCTCCTTTACAGGGTCGATCGCCTCAGACTCACAACACCTTCACACACAGGAAGCCCCAGGCCTCCCTCGACGATCACACCAAAGCCCAGAAGCTGACAGCTGTCTTCCCAGGTGCCCTCTATCCCTTCACTCCACACATGGGAAAATATTCACCAATTACTCAGTAGTCTCATGGATGCCCAGTATTCCATTTCCTTTCATTCTCCCTTCGAGTTTCCATCACAACACACTTTAATAGTTAGCACCACCTTGCTCTCCCTTTCAAAAGATTATCCTTTTGTCCCACAGACCAATCCATCCCACACCTGCTCATGAAATCATTCTGTCTTTCTGAAGACAGGGGACACGGAAGTCATCCCTACCCATCAACCTGGGGTAGCTGGGATCACGACTGAGGGCAACTCGAGCTAACCAGTGACATGCTGGCTTTCAAACAAACAGTAGTCTCGCGAATTCCATCCAGATCTCTCTCGGTTACATTCTTTTACCCTTTCTTCCTTCCCAGCATTCTACAGGGGACAGACGTTTTCTGAAGCCCATGCAGAGTACCTGTCCCTGACCTAGCCCAAAGACAAAGTATCTGGCAAACTCAGCTTTCTGTCGACTCGACACAGGCCCTCTTCTTCCGCCAAACGCACATTCTCTCCCCAGTTGTACACCAGTCTTGCAGACGCACCTCAACACTTCGAAGGTTGGGACCCTGTTACAGCTGCTTCTCTTCCCTCACACCCTCTCCCCACCTCAATGGTTCTGGGGCGATTGCCAGACCGCCAGGTGACCCGGAGAATGGTGCTCTCTGAAGGGGTCGGGCCAGGGCCTGTGGGGCCTGTGCATAGCCTGTGTGGTTAGAGGGGCCGGGTTGAGGTGAGGCGCGGTCTTCTGGGATGTTGCCCTTCTCCAGCAGGCTTCGCCTAAAGAGGCCTAAAGCTGAGATAAATAGGCACCTTAGCATAAGGAAGAGAAGAAGAAAAAGACACAGAAGAATACGCAGGTCATACTTAGAGAGACTCCGCTGGCCCTTCAGAAAAAGGGGCTTGAGCCCTCGAGAGAAACCTCAGCTCTGGTCCTCGATCCTCTCTCCTCAGTCCTAGGTGGCTACTGGGCGGTATTTGGCTCCACCTCCTGCCTTGCCACAGAGGCCAATGAGCTTCCAGCACGTCCCTTGAAACCCGCCCACTGGTGGCAGCTCTGAGACCCACTTCCGCCTACAGGGAGGTGGGGCCTGTAGGCTCTAGTGGATAGGGGTGCTCACTTAACTGATCCCACCTTTAGCCTGGGAGGAACAAATTAAGGTTTGCACTCTCTAGTGGTGGCTGCGAAAATTGCTTCCATTTGGCGATGGGTGTCTCTGCATGTGCCTGCCTGAGGTGTGCATGCAGTTTGAGTAGTAGGTCTCCTTGTTAAACTGTAATTTGCCCTTTCAAGGTTCAGCATGCTTGCTTGTCGTGGACATCCGTCTGTCCTCCCATCATGTTTTCTCTTTCAGCAGTAGCCATGGTAAATCCCTCAGAGAACACTTGCATGTCTGGGAACGCTGTTCCCTCTGCCTTGTTTGAGACTGTCTCTGAGCTCTCCTTTCTGTGCCAGAGTTAAATCCCACGGTTTCTCTGCTAGTTCTACACTGACATGAGTTTTTTGTTTGTTTGTTTGCTTGTTCCTTTGTCTGTTGTCAGTCCATTGTAGGACACGATGTCTGCTAGGAAACATTCCTAATTCTTGTTCCACAGACCCAAATGTAACTTTCCTCTTCCCTTCCTTCTGTTCTTCCATGTGTATGTGAGTCTCCGAACTCCAGATCCCCAGTACACTCTCGGCTGCGAAGACTTCAGACCGCATTTCCTTTGATTCTGGGGACGAATTAAGAGGGAGCAGGTTATCCACAGAATACCTGGCCTTCCTAGTCATCAGGTCAGGACGCCTCTCCCTGTGGCTCTGTCGTATTTTGTATGCTAAAAACTTTATGTTTTTAGTTTTCTCTTTTGCACATTCTATCTGGTACACCTGTGTCATTCTTATCCCAGAACACTTTAGAGTAGTGCCATTCTCCTGTCTGATATCTGCTTGGCAAGAAAACCTTCACTTGATTTTAACTGACAGTCCTACACTGGACCTTTCTAACTGGTGCACTGTTCCAAAAGTCAGCCACCACATAAAATCCATTATATTACAGCACACACACACACACACACACACACACACACACACACACACACACACACACAGGTTCTGAGTCTTTTCTGTGCATCTCGCTCAATTAAAACCAGTTCTGTTTTGTGGCTCTTGTTGTTGCTGTTTTCAGGGTTGGTGTGGCTCCACAGAAGGCAGTCTAATAAGGATTAAGGATGGGGATGGAGGGCCTTGTTTGAGTTGTTGCCGCTGCTAGTAAAATGTCACCAACATTTTCAGATGAAAATACTTTATTCCAGCTCTCCCTTTCTGTAGTCACTTTCAAAGCCTCTCTTCATCCATGCAGCCTCCCAGTCTACCTTCTTCCTTTCCTGCCCATCTCCCTCTCTTCTTTCTCCCTACACTCGTTCATTCCTTCCTTTCTTGCTTTTTCCTTGCCCGTTTCTTTAAAAGATTAATAAACATCCCTTGTGCAGTTATCAAAGGTCTGTTACATAACCACAGCTGCACTGTGCCTGCATGGAGGCACCTGTGACTCTACTTGCTCTTTTGTGAACACAGCATATGGCATTTATAGATTCTTCTCAATATTGTTAGCTAAGGCTCAGCTCACTTTTAATTGAAAAGAAGTGTGTACTACCAGGGATAGCATATACTTGGCATATTCTAAAATTACACACACACTGTTGTTTACACTCTAGAGGAAGCAACTGCATGACTTAGCAGCGCACACCACCTTCTCAAGTCCCTTTCCATCCCCAGAAGTCTCATCTGAACTGAGCTTTGTTCTCCTGGCCAAGAATTTTTAAAAATGCAATAAAATTGAACAGCTATGGCAGATTATTTTCTATACACCAGGAATTTTTGTCGCAACCATGCTTGCCTGGCATTTTAGTGTATTTCCGTCCTGGGGGACCTGCCATGATGTTTCTTTCCCCTACACTAACTTCCACAGACTCTAAAGGACTGTGATGTGGGAGTGTCATATATCAATCTGTTGATTTCATTGGTTAAGTAATAAACAAACTGCTTGGCCTCATAGCTTAGAACATAGGTGGGTGGAGTAAACAGAACAGAATGCTGGGAGGAAGAGGAACTGAGCTCAGAGGCCATACTCCCCTCTCCCGGGCAGACGCGATCAATGAAGCTCAGACCCAGGATTGACGTAGGCTAGAACCTTCCCGGTAAGCGCACCTAGGGGTGCTACAAACGTTATTAGAAATGGGTTAACAGGCTGAAACTAATGGGCCAAGCAGTGTTTAAATGAATAGAGTTTGTGTGTTGTTATTTCTGGTGTAAAGCTAGCTGTGCGGGAGCCGGGCGGGACGAAAAGCAGGCCCGCAGCTCCCACAACAGGACTGAACCCAAAAGTCTCTGCTACTCATGGGCAGCTTCAATTTTTGGGAACTGTGCTTCAGTTCATCAGTCACTTTAAGCTCCTCTATTGTGTGTGGCAGGAGGCTAAGGCAGTGGGGACAGCAATACTGGCCAGATGCCCTCATAGACCCCACGATCTAGACACGAGTTACTGTTGGGGGATGAGCCAACAATGCTAAGACCCCACGAGTATTCTAATACTATGTCATTGTGCCTGACATCACACAGGCCCTAAAAATGTGTTAGTTAATTTCTGGAGTGAAATGTTATTACGTCTCTATTTACTGATGAGAAATTTGAGGACTGGGCATCAGATATTACTTGCTTGTTGCTGCACGGTATACACATGGGCACCAAAATCTTAGAACCATGCCTGTCCATAGTGTTCCTCTCATTGACATTTCCCACCATTTTTGATAATTTTTTGCCTAAATGCT